CTAGGATTCATTCACTCAACTCCTATGGGAGCTGTGGAATATACAAGGACAAGAAAGCTACCTCTGCCCTGAAGGAATTTGCAAGATACACACAAATAACTTACCACAATTATCACAAATATGGCACCTTGAAGAGAGGTATGTAAAACACTATGGATAATTCCCTTAGCAATTTGTCGAAAGCTTCCTAAAAACACTTAAGAACCTTCACTTGGAAAGCTGTCCTGGGCTTCCTCTCATCAAATCACCAATCAGGAATTCATATTCTCCAAGTCTCTGGCATCAACAATCAGAGACAGTGTTCATGTCTCTTTCAATTATGTGACACACCTAAATGTGACCCCTTTCCTGTTCTCTAAACACAGAAGTTCAATTCACATCTATGTCAATGTTGTTTGCCAAAGCCAGCAACCTTTCCAATGAAATAAGGACCTGAAAGACTTTTCAAATGGCTTTGACTTTCTTTCTTAGTAAAGAGTTGCTGTTTATGGAATACTGGCTCTAAGAACGGTGAACTGGTGTCCAGTTAAATTATACTTATTCTGGGGCTCCTAGATGGCTCAGTTGGTTAAGCATCTGACTTGATTTCAGCTCAGGTCACAATCTCACAGTTCCTGCGATTGACCCTGCTTGAGATTCATTCTCATTCTCAATCTCAATCTCTCTCTCTCTCTCTCTCTCTCTCTCCACTCCCCCCCGCTCAAAAAAATAACATTAAAAAAAAAATTCTTATTATTTTTTTTAACTTATTCCTCCCCATAAGTTAGTGATAGGAGAAAGTTATCTCAGACTCCTGGTGAACTAACCACTATGAATATGTGCAAGGAAAAAGCTCCATTCACACATGAGAATTATAAAATTGACAGAATTTATTGAAATAGATCTAAGAGGCAAGCTGTATTTGAATCAAGTCCATGAAAATGAACAATTCAAGTAATAAGATGATGAGTCATCAAAAAGTGATAATGTATACAATTATGGTGCTCATCTAGTTGAATGGTAGGTGGCAAAGTGATCTTAGGGGATCATTTTTGGAATGATTCTGTGAGAGACTAGTCAGTGTTCTCTCTTCAGTAATGATACACCACCTGGTATCTAGTCTATTGATTCATCATTTCATTTCGTTAGAATAAGGACATGTGCTTAAACCACAGGCAGTCTGGATTTCATATGTAAGTTAAATGATTCTGCGAGTCATCATAGCATCAAAATCATTTTTCTTACATTATACACTATTGGATTCAGTACTTTTGTATCTTTTAACCCAAAGCGTATGTAGACTTTGTAATAGACATGGTTAGACGTTGCACTTTTCACTGTCATCACAATATAAGGGGGACTCTTTTCATAGTCTTCTGCACTAAGCCTAGAAAATACTTCATCATTGGAGACCTAAATGTCTCTCAAATATTCCTGGAAGAAATCCAGTTGAATGAAATTAATATAGGTTACTTCAAGAACGGCAGTAATAAACAGGATTTTATAGAGATGGGGAGAAGACAGCAGAAAGTTGAATAATACTAAAGTAATTTTAGGATTTTTAGTATTTTGTACACAATGGAAAGTAAATAGCTTTCTTTAATGGCAACAGCTTTTGCTAATCATTTTATCATTTTCCAGTTTTCAAAGAGCTTTTATATACATCATTTTATCTGATCCCCCCAATAACTCACAAGTATGAGCAAGTAACAGAATATTATCCCCACTTCATAGATGAAGAACCAGAACCAGAGACCAGAAGAATTAGGTGACTTGTCAAATAATAATATTATAGAGCATCCATGCCTTCTGGCTCCTAGTCTAGCCTGGAGTTAATTTATTAAGTATTAACTAGTAGTAATGTGATTATTCAACCCCAAGGTTTTTCTAAGCTCACTGAAACTTGTTTTCAGTTAAAATTCCTAAACAACTTTCCAGCCTTATCTTCAAAAAGAAATATACATATTGCCTATATAAGAAATTGCTGATCGCAATGATTTGACACCATCATAACATATCCATCTGATCTACCACTGCTTGTCCCAACCTGAGGCCAAAACAACAGTTACATGCTAAGCAGATCAGTTTCACCCACGAAGAGTAAATCCTCTTAGTACTGCACACTAATCACTGAATTAACTACATCAAATTGGTGGACTTAAGAGAAATGGGTGAATATTTTTCAGGGCCTTTTCTTCTACCCGACAGCGATCAATGACAAATTCAAAAGGTACCTAGCATAGTAAAACCTGATAGCAAAGGAAACTGTCACTAGGTGGGGAAAAAGGAGATGCTAGGTAAATCACATCAAAAACTATGAGTGGTTCGTTTTACCCTGCTAACACAGACTATCAAGTATGGTGCTCTGGAAATATGGGAAGTAAAATAAGAATTACCACTGACCAAGTGGTTACTCCATGCTGGATTGTACTATAGGTGCTTTATGAGAATTAGCTCATCTACCAAATCAGTGAGATAAGTAATGTTACATCCTCATTTTACTGCTAAAGAAACTGAAATTCTAAGTAACATGCCCCCCAAAACTCAGCAGGTAAATGTCCACTCATTGAATTCAATCCAAGTAATCTGGCATCAAAGGCTGTGCTCTAAACCAGGGTTCCGTAGACTGTTAACTCATGGGCCAAATCCAGCCTGCTCTCTATTTTATATAGCCTTAGGAGTGGTTTCAGGTTTTTAAATGGTTGGGAGTGGGAGGAATCAAAGAAAGAGTATTTAATGACATACAAAAGTTACATGAAATTCAAACTCCAATGTCCATAAACTGGAATAAAGTCACACTTGTTCACTGACACACTGGCTGTGGCTGCTGTCACATTGCAATGGCAGAGGTGAGTAGTTGAACTGAGAGTTAAGTAGTCGTGACAAACCATGACATGGCCAGCAAAGCCTAAAATATTTCCTACCTGGCCCTTTACAGAAAAATCTACTGACTCCTGCTGTAAGCCATTCCACTCTATGCTTATTTAACATCTCTACTTGGATGTCTTAACAAATATCTCCAAACTTTAAGTATTTAAAATCGAAGTCCTGATTTTCTCCACTAGTGACATCCAAGTCCATATTTGGTTAGTCTTCCCCTATGGAAAATCCATCCCTCTAGGTATAAAAGCCATAGTTCGAGAGTATCCTTGAGTTCTTTCCTTCACTATGTTCAAAACCATCAGCAAACCTGACCAGCTTTGCCTGTGAAATATCCAATCCCATTTCATTCCGTCCACTGCTAATGGCCTGGCCCAAGCCATCAGTACCCCTTTTCTGAATTATTACCATTGCATCTTACTAGGTCTCTCTTGTTTCGGTTCTTGCCCAAGACAGCAGCCAGCAGAGGCTCCCGCACTCACAAACCCTCTAGCTCCTGGCTTGGTGCTAGCTTACTCCCCATTACTGCAGACCCCCTATTAGATAGGCCTTCCCTCTCCATGAGACCCACCTATACTTCTAGCCCCTAGGACCCCTTTTTCTCTGCTTTATTGTTCATCCATACTATTGCAACCTGCCATTCAAAAGATATACTGGATTCTAACTGAATTTAAGCTACCCGAGGCAGAAGTTTAGTTCATTTTCTTTACTAGAATATCTCTAGCACTGGGCCACGGCCTGACATATATTAGGTCCTTAAGAAGATATCTGCTCGGGGCACCTGGGTGGCTCAGTTGGTTGAGCATCCAACTTCGGCTCAGGTCATGATCTCACAGCTCATGGGCTCGAACCCCATGTCGGGCTCTGTGCTGACAGCTCAGAGCCTGGAACCTGCTTCAGATTCTGTGTCTGATTCTGTCTTCAGATTCCCCATCTCCCTGCACCTCCCACGCTCATACTCTGTCTCTCTCTGTCTGTCTCTGAACAATAAATTTAAAAAGTTAAAACAAAAATTTAAAAAAAAGAAGATATCTGTTCAATGAATGAGGAAATGATCCCTGCATGCAAGAAGCACTCAGATTAGTGACACACAGAGATGGGTGAACATACTTAATATGTCAATAATTGTACTGAATGGTGCTTAATAGTGTGTTTCTTATTTTATCTACTTTCTTATTAAACACCTTTCTAAACAAATCAAATTTTAGAAGTCTCAATCAAAGGGAAGAGAAAGACAGCTTTGTAAGACCTATGTATGAAATTATTCTAGATAAATCTACATTCCTGAACAAGGGCACTGATAAGGTGCTCAAACTCCCATTCTTAAACTCACAGTCTCCTTCTGTTTTAGCCTTCATTCCCATCATTGCATCTCTGTCCAACTCTGGGGCCATGTTGACTAGAGGTACTGCCTCAACTACTCCTCTTAACTTTTCTCCCCAAGTCCTACTATTCAACTTATGCCCACCACTATTTTTTTTAACTCTCTAAATGTTTATTTTTAAGAGAGGAACAGAGACAGAGCATGAGCAGAAAAGGGGCAGAGAGGGGGGACACAGAATCTGAAGCAGGCTCCAGGCTCTGAGCTTCCAGCACAGAGCCCAGTGCAGGGCCCAAATCCATGAATTGTGAGACTATGACCTGAGCCAAACTTGAACACCCAAACAACTGAACCACCCAGGTAACCCATCTTGCCTACCACTCTTAAAAGAGATATTCATTTATTAGCCACAAATGCAGTGAAACTGAGATTTCATAAAGACAATAATACTTCTTACCCCTTAAAACAGTACCATTTCTAAGAACCTATTCAACTTTCCCAATGTTTGGGATAGACAAGAGAAGCACTCTACTATCTGACCTGGAGGCAGTGCAGGTCCTAAAAACTTAAGAAAAAAGATGAGGGAGTTTGCAGAGTGGTAAATGCCGCACTGAACCAATAACATGACCACACCCAAGACAACCAAAGAAGGAATGATATTTTCTGTGACAATGATCTACCTGCTTCACTTCTTCACTTCCTGGCCACTTGTTAACTAGGAAAAGCAGTTATAGTTCTAATTATTGATGTTTAAATAAATCATATGGGAAAGCTGCAGATGTGGTTCGAGAAGAGAATCAATGACGAGAAATAGTCATACCCTCTCTTCCAGTCTAGCCAGCTGCTCTTTGTAGAATGCATCCTGCTTCTTTATCACTCGATCTTTCTCTTCCAGCTGCTTAGCCTAAAAAAAGAAATGAAGAATATACTATATCAAGAAAAAGCAGCAACAGCAAAGCAAAAGTCAAGTATAAATTACATTAGAAATAAGTACACAAAGCTGGAGATTTTTGCAATCTATTAGGGCTCTGCCACAGAACAATATTAATAAGATGATGATTGCTGTATTTAAATGTAAAGGAGTCTACATTGTATTTTTTTTTTTTACTATAACAGCTGTGTCCTACTTAGCCCAAAAGTATCAGAATACAGCAGACAGTTTTATTTAACTTCTTTCGAAGAGTAATTTCAAGGATTAATATTTTCTACACTAAAACTTAGATTTTATTCCCAGCATAAGCTACATGGTTATTAACCCTTTTTCTTTTTTTCTGAAGAAGAAAAATGACTGTATGACATTTCCTACATAAATCTTATGTTTGAGAACCCTTAAATTACACACTGAAACCTGCACATAAATACATGTGTTGGTCTATTTTCTTCTTTATGAAGCAGTCGTCTTTGGAGGAAGGGGCAAAAACTACTAAAAATGTTTATTTGAATAACTGAAAATTTAAAGTGATAAATAAAAATAGTGAAAGTAATTTTAAAACTTGGTCATCCCATTTCTAATTTACAAGATTTTTTTAAATTAAAAAAATGTAATAAAACATTTTTATTACCTGAAAAAACAACAATAAAAATAGTTACTTATGGATGTTTTTCAAGGTTAGCTAAAAAAATGCATTTTTCAAACTGTTGTTTGTATCTTGATCATTACATTTCAAGTGATCTTTATCTCTGAGAACAGACCTCCCTATCTCACCCCAAGTTAGATGAATGCTGAACACACAACTGACTAGGAATTTTAAGGTATTAAGCAAGTATGTATTCTGGCGTTCCCACCCTTGTGCTGTGTACCACATTATTTTGCCCAGTGATCAAGTGACACCTGGCTCAGCCTGTGTAAGTGTGACTTCCACTATCTGCTTACTTTCAGTGTATCCATTTTGCACATTTGTAGGTCATTGCTTTGCTACTTACTTTGTCTTCAATATCCTGCAGCATGTTTAAAACAAACAAATTAACAATGGTTATTTGACAATATAAGTCATATTTTTTTCTAATGTTACAAAGAAATCTGATAGATAATATCTGAGATGCAAACCAAAGAAAGCAATGAGGGAAAAACTTGGAGAACTTGCTTAACTTGGAATACATTTAAATGTCACTGTGCTATTACAGTCTGAATAGAAGATTTCAATGAAAAGTTCATGCTACTTGAGCATATGAATAAATAAAAACAAATACAAAGACTGCATTAAAATATACTAATATGCAAGTACATAATCTATGGCTCCTTGGTACAACATAGTAAAAAGCTGACTAGTTTATCAGGAATATAAAAAAAAAAAAAAAAAAGGTAAAGAGAGAAAGAATTTTTAACAAAGCTAATTGTGAAGAAAACACGCATGACTACAGGACCTAAAAAGAAAAGATCTTAAATTCAACACACACACACACACACACACACACACACACACACTCAATTAATCCAGGATATGTAAAAGAATGGATTTGAGACCCCCCCCCGTTAAAAAAAAAACATGAAATCAAATGAATAAGCAAATGACAAAAAGAGGAAAAGAAATTCCAACATGTAACTGTGAGAGTTAAAGATCCTAAAACACAGAACACTTTTTAAAAGTACTGTTCCCCCCCACCCCAAACAAATGACATACACTGGTAATTCACACACAAAAATACAAATAATAAACACATGGGGGAAAACCAAAGCCTAAGGGAAGTCAAAGAAAGAAAATTAAAATGAAATACTATTATTCATCTACTGAACTGACAAAAATATAAAACAATAATAATAATGTCAAGGATACAGGAAAACAGGCTCTTCTATACACTACTGGTCAAAATGTAATGTGGTATAACCACTTTTTAAGTCAATTTGACAAAATGTAATGTTTTAAAAATATACATATTCACTGAGATCTAAACTCTATTTTTAGGATTTAAGTAATGACAATATACAAAGATGTTCATGATAGGATTGTACAGGATAGCAAAGAAGCAAAAAAAAAAAACCCCAATTTAATAGTTAAATAAAAATAACCTCAAAATATGCTAGGTAAAAAAAGAAACAGATTATAAACAGAAAGGACAGTATAATCTCTTTTTTGTAGGGAAGAAAAAAATACGACACTCAACAAAATGTCAACAAAACTTATATGGTAGGCTTATGAGTGGTTTCCAGTTACTCTTGCTTCTTTGTATTTTCCAAATTAAAAAGAAAACATACTTGATAGTCAAAGGACACTAGAAAGAATTTTCTAAGGTGAGAGAAGTAGTCTTCTTGTTTATGGTTGGTTAACCAACTGCATGGGTTCGTCAAAACTCATAGAACAATGTATCATAAAGAATGAATTTAACTACATAAATATTATAAAGTGTACACAAGTTAAGTACACCAAAACTTATGAAAACAGCTGCATATAAACATATGGATGGATATGTGCATGTCTTAACTATTATTAATCTGCTTATCACTTGGCTGATTTTATTCTAGGCATTTAATCCCAAGAAATATTAAGAAAAGCACACAAGGATTTATATCTAAGAAAATACAGCCAACATTATTTGAAGCAACAAATAACTGGGACCAAAAGAAGTTTGTGTAAATAAGATTTGATCCAACAAAAAGACATTGATTATAAAGATTTTGTCCAGCCATAATGACCAAACATGGAGAGCCACTAAAAATTAATGTTTTAGTAGAATGGTTAATTTTTTTTTAACTCAAAATCTTATGTGGGGAGAAAAGCAGGTCATAAAAAAGCATGTACAGGAAATTCCTAATTTTGGTTAAGGAAGGAACAAGGAAAGTTGAGTGCCTTGTTATAGACACTTGGAAAAAAGTATCCATCTTAGTATGCTACGATGTTAATAGTGAATATGATATTTTCTTATGTGGACTGTCCTGTAGTTTCCAAAATTTCTATAATAAACAATTATTACTTCTATAATCAGAAAAATACTTCTTAAACATTAATATCATATACATTTATCCCTAACTAGGAGATGGAAAAATATGATAGAGAAGCTCAAGGAGTGAGATATTAAGTAATTATATTAACAACTAATTTTTTTAACAACTTGAACAATTATTTATAGCTTGGAAATTATTTAACCTACAAAATCCTTAATGTACTAGCACTTGATTTTCTCTCCTACTCAATCTTTGACAGTACCCACCATGGTTCTTAAAAACACTTGCACTAAATGTTTCTTTTGTTCACATATAGTGCACAGTGAGACTTTTATTTTTAAAAAACACACACAAAAAAGCAATAGATATTCCATTATGGTTATTCAGAAAACACTAAAGAATTCAATACTACAAATATATTGCTTGAACCTGAGGACTACATATACCAACAAATTTAATTTTGAGAAGCAACATAAATAAAGAATGTATAGTAATATCCTCATTCGCTTTTCTAAGATATGTAATCTTTGAAAAAATTTAAAGCAACATGTGAAAAGGTCAGATATGCACACTAAAAAGGAACTACTTCCAAAGGGCCGAAAACACCAAACTATGGTCTAACATCACAAATCTTTCCCTAGACAGCCAACAGAATCAATAGCTTGCGATCCACTGGGGAGAATAAGAAAGCAAGAAACATGGCCACAACCCCCGAACAGCACGTTGCTTTGAAACAGTTAATGTGATGCTGGGAGGGAAAGTCACACAATATGAATCCTGAAACCCAAATAAGCCTGGAATACATTGACTAAACTAATAGCTACTAAGGATGAAGAGTCACACTCAACTTACAAAAAAGCAGTAAACCAAGTGCAAAGAAATAAAACTTCTATGTATAACTCTCTAACGGAGAATCAGTGTAAATGAACAAATAAAAACAAAGAGGATTATAACATTGTTGTTACAGATTATTTCTTAGGGGAAAAAATGAATATAAAAAGTTTCCCCTCATTTCTTGTTTGCTATTATTCCTCTCAGTACAAGAAACGTGCGCTGATTAGTTTTCAGATCCTGTTGGATTTGGGATAACATGATTGGGCTTGAAAACATGACAATTCATTATGGAAAACTACAGCACCCCATATGCAAGAGAAACAAAGAAAATAAGGAAATCAAGTTTTCCTTCAGAAACCTAACACATAAATATTTCAATGTTTTAAACTCAGTGGTGCTAGTTTCACGATGAAGTACTCATATATTATCTTCCTTAAGACTTGCTTCTTATCAGAAAGGATTTGAAGGTACTATGACTAAGAATATAATGAGATCAACAAAAGTAAAAACTGGGATTATGGATAAGACATATTGTGGTGGTGGGAACTTTACCTTCCCACGTACATTCCTAGGTAACTCTTCATACCGAAAGCTTTTGGGCATATTAGTTCAGCCTTCTTAGGCCTGGCTGCTCCTGAGGATTGAGATGTGTCACAAGGTGCATGGTATTGAGAACCCAGTGACATCACAATCACTTAGCTCAGAGGTTGTACTTTTACTTTGGACATCAAGTATAAGGCATGTTAAGAAAAGATTTGGGACTACAGGCAAGCTCATACATTTTAAATGACAACATACTTTGAAATGTCAGTGTTCAATTTTAATAGCTCAAGGGAAAAAACAAAGCAGGTACCTGTTCAATTTTCCATGGGATGATACTAAGAAGCCAAAGAGTATTAGGATTGAGAAAAGGCAACAACTGTAAATCAATCCACCTATGAAATCCCTATAATTATATTTCCTATCATTCTAAATCTTGTAAAAAATCTGAAACACATATAATGGCTGGAGAAAGATTTAGTCTTTCACAATGATATGGATAGTCTGTGGCACAGATCAATCTCTATCTAATAACTCACATAGGCAAATAGGAGCAAAGAGATTTTTTATTCCTCTTCAAAACTACATAGAATGCAAAATATATAGGAACCTAATAAAATTATATGCTGACATAAAACACAGAACTGAAA